CAATAGCTCATCATCCCTCATCATAGCTCGGCTGCTCCAAGTGCCTGTAGCCTGTGCTGTTGATCAGCGCATCTGCTTCCGGAGGTCCACGGGTTCCTTGGGCCTGCGAGGAGCAATGACGCTACTGGATCCAGGGGGACCCAAAAGATAACGTCGAGAAAATCTGTAGAAAAAAACAGGTACGCTAATCATCGCTCATCATGTTGAGGTATGGGCAGCACCCACCAGGTAAACAGTTATGCACATGGGTTGTGGTAACACAGTTCATTTCTCTTCCGTTGCATCCTTATCATCACTATTCAGTGCTAGCAAGCGCTCAGGCACCACAGGGCATCCAGGTTCCGAGATGCCGGGCATAGGGAAATGGATGCGGGGCACTTGGCGACTCCAGACCTGGATACGATTTGCATAGACTAACAAGCACGACAGCCCCTGGAAAGACACACATAAAACATCATAAGACAGGTGTGGAATATGCACAGCATAGCTTTATTCCAAAGGTCGAAGGGAGGGTTGCAGAAAAGAGCCGCGCAGGCAGCAAATTTGACAGGCTGCTGAGCTAGAAACCGTCCAGTACTGAGTCTGCAGCTCTGAAGCAATGGATCAAAGATTCGCCATCCTTCTTCCACCTGTCTGCAAGGTCTCTAGCCCAGCAATCCATACACATCAATTTCACATAAAATATGCCCTATGCCCGTGTACCAATACCTGCAGAGGCATATGAGTAGCGGACAAAGTTGCTTACTGCTCTCAATGAACATGGCCAAAGTGGGTGGTCCCCTATCGGGTGTGAGGGTTTTAACACACATTTGAACATCCCAAGTCCACTCCCTACTACATCTACTACTTTATAGTCCTTTACAGTCTTCCACTAATCTTGTCGGTTACTCATCTCATATCATATATCGGAAGACGACTCGCCTCGTCCGCACGGACAAAGTTGTGGCTCTCGCCTTGGATCACCTCACTGAAATCTGCGATGCCATGATGCCATGATGATCACCTATGGGCCATATGGATATGATTGGATATCACCTGTAGATCGTATGGTTTTGTGATGTTTTATGACGTCTTATGACGTTTTACGCCGTTTTTCCCGAGAGCGTCTGAGCGCAGGGTTCTTCCAATAGTGGGGGTCTGTAAAACATCTTCTCATCTTCACATCTCATCTTCACATCCTCTCATCTTCACATCTGCTCATCTTCACATCCTCTCATCTTCACTTCCTCTCATCTTCACATCTGCTCATCCTCACACCTTCCCATCTTCACATCTGCTCATCTTCACACCTTCCCATCTTCACATCTTCTCATCTTCACATCTGCTCATCTTCACATCTGCTCATCTTCACACCTTCCCATCTTCACATCCTCTCATCTTCACATCTGCTCATCTTCACATCCTCTCATCTTCACATCCTCTCATCCTCACACCTTCCCATCTTCACATCTGCTCATCTTCACACCTTCCCATCTTCACACCTCCCCATCTTCACATCTTCTCATCTTCACATCTGCTCATCTTCACATCTGCTCATCTTCACATCTGCTCATCTTCACATCTGCTCATCTTCACATCTTCTCATCTTCACATCTTCTCATCTTCACATCTGCTCATCTTCACATC